AGAGTAAACTAGAGGAATTTCTTAATGTAGTCCAGAAGCTATTATGCAATATCGTTTCTTAAATATCATTAATGTATTCAAATTATAAAATATATGAATTCACAAGGTATTAGATCACCACCCTACATATATATTTTTAATGTTAAATATTCCTAGCCTCCATAAAATGATTCCTTGCTTTTTCCTATTATCCCTATACTTTGATTCATCTGGAACTTTGTCAAAATTATAGAAACACAAATAAAAGGTATGCTTCAAAAATGTTTGATAGAGTAAATAAAATCAAAAGTGTCTTATATAAAAGTCTTACCTACATATTTTATTCATAAATCTCCTCCTTCCTCTAGCACAGAAAACAGGCAATTCAGAATTTAAACTAATGCATGCCTGTATGATATTTTTTTAAAAAATGAATTAAACTTTCAATCAACAGCAATTTATCAGTAAAAGCATTTTAAAGATAAGAGACTATAGATCAAAAAATTTTATTTAGTACTTGTATTTCGTACTACATTTACATACTATCTTAGAAAAACAAGACTTACTACGCAAATTTAACTCCAGCAACTATCTGGATCTTATAAAGCATACCCCGCTGAAGGAGATAGAGAAGTTTCAACTAATACATCATTTTTCAAACTAAGTTCTCTGATGTTCTGAACACACAGAAGAGACTAATAACTCACCATTCCAAAACTGCTTAAAGACAAAGAATAAAGCAATTATGAGATAATTATTTCTAAGAGAGAAATGACATCAATAAGATACATTCAGAAATTTAAAAGCAAAGTTACTGCAATGGCTTTGACGAGGATTTAAAATCTAATGAATAGTATGCCAATGTTCCTCATCACACCAGATATACAGCTAACCACAAGAGGGTAATGCTAGGTTTATACTAAGCTAATGGCTTCATAGGCTTGATAATAAGTTATTTAGCAGTCCTTTCTATTCAATTACACATAATATTAAACTAAATAATATTTAAAAAGCCTAACATCCACATTTGTTAATCCATGTAGAGTCCACCCAGTTTACACTCTCAAAAATTCAGAGAAAATCAAGCCTAGTCTAAGTATGTTTTAATCTAAAAAAAAATCAGCACTGTCCTATTTGCCAGGAAGAGAACCTAACAAAAATGTTTTGCCGTATTATTTAAATAAAGTCTGAGCTAAAAAGTTAAAAAATGTCTAAAACATTAATAATACTCTAGAAGGGCAAATAGGATATATATCCTCATAATCACCCTCCTATACAAAAGAACCAATTCCACTTCACAATAAGTAAAAGAGACTATGCTTGCCTACTAATCTCTGATTTATTCATTATTTGACACACACAACTATGCAACAATAAAATGTAAACTATGGTTTATACTGAGAATTGTGAAGACTTTCCTTCCTTAGAATTTAAAACAGACTAAAAAGGTTCTAAGTATAGCAGTCATAGGTTTGATTGATTATATGGAAAGTTTGAAATGGATGAAAGCTTACAAGGTTAAAAAATTCAACTGATTTTTATTTTTATTTTTTAAATACCTCACCTCAATGAAGCATAACTGATAGCTTTTATAGTAAGATTAAAAGAATTATTTACTTATTAAGTGTACTAAATGTCATGCTTCAGTAAATTCACAAATTGAAAATTAAATGACATTCTAGGTTAGGTATATATTTACTCAAAACCTTATATTTAAGTCCCTATTATATGTAAATCATAAAAATGTGGAAGTATATGAAAAAACCAATATTCACAGGATTACGGTACAGCATGGAAAACATGTATTTTTTCCAAAGTAATACATACTATAGAAACAGGATCAAAATAAGTAGAAATCTTTACAAAACAAGTGGTTAATTCTATCTCCTGCTTCCTTTTCCCTTCCCTTAAGTTTTTAGGGAAAGAGCATCTGAAAAAAGAATAGAAAGACCTCACCCTAGGTTTGGGGTCTTTGGGGATAGTTACCTACAAAGAACTCAAACAAATTTACAAGAAAAAAACAAACAACCCCATCAAAAAGTGGGCAAAGGATATGAACAGACATTTCTCAAAAGACGACATGCATACAGCCAACAGACACATGAAAAAATGCTCATCATCACTGGCCATCAGACAAATGCATATCAAAGCCACAATGAGATACCATCTCACACCAGTTAGAATGGCAATCATTAAAAAGTCAGGAAACAACAGGTGCTGGAGAGGATGCGGAGAAATAGGAACACTTTTATACTGTTGGGGGGATTGTAAACTAGTTCAACCATTATGGAAAACAGTATGGCGATTTCTCAAGGATCTATAACTAGAAGTACCATATGACCCAGCCATCCCATTACTGGGTATATACTCAAAGGATTAGAAATCATGCTGCTATAAAGAAACATGCACACGTATGTTCATTGCGGCACTATTCACAATAGCAAAGACTTGGAATCAACCCAAATGTCCATCAGTGACAGACTGGATTAAGAAAATGTGGCACATATACACTGTGGAATACTATGCAGCCATAAAAAAGGATGAGTTTGTGTCCTTTGTAGGGACATGGATGCAGCTGGAAACCGTCATTCTCAGCAAACTATCCGAAGAACAGAAAACCAAACACCACATGTTCTCACTCATAGGTGGGAACTGAACAATGAGATCACCTGGACTCGGGAAGGGGAACATCACACACCAGGGCCCTATTATGGGGGGTCGGGGGGAGGGATGGCATTGGGAGTTATACCTGATGTAAATGACGAGTTGATGGGTGCTGACGAGTTGATGGGTGCAGCACACCAACATGGCACAAGTATACATATGTAACAAACCTGCACATTATGCACATGTACCCTAGAACTTAAAGTATAATAATAAAAACAAAAAAAATAAAAAATAAAAAGAAAGACCTCACCCCAGGTTTGGGGTCTTTGGGGATAGTTACTTAACAGTTGAATCCAGGAGAAGTTTCTAGGCAAAAGGAACAGTATAAGCAAAGATACCCTAACATTCTGCTTTGAGAGTTACATACAACTTTAAAGCACGAAAACAGTAGGCTGGGGCTAGGTAATTACAGAGGGTCATGCAAAGAGATGGATCTAAATCAACGTACATGATAGGCAGCTACTGAAAAATTTTAAGCAGGAAAGAAACATCATATTTCTGACAACAACACATAAGAGGACAGGTTAAAAGACTATTGCTAGATTAGGTGATGCTAAGGATCTAAACAAGGCAGAAGCAGTAAAACAGGACATGACAATTACAGCTAATCAAAGTAGGTAGAATATAAAGTTCTGTGGGGGACTGGGAAAGGGAGGGAATACCATTATCTGGCTTCTGCTTTTCTTTTTCATTTAAATACATAATCTAAACATAAACCCAGAATCTATGTAAAGGATTCAGTGACCTGACATATAACAAAGATAATCATTACAGAAAACTAACAAATCTAGAAAAGAACTTTGTAAAGTAAGCCTGTTTTAAAGAGAGATCAAAACTTTTTAGTGAGGAATAAGAACAAAAATTGTCTGGCATTTAAATAATAAAGCTAACAATTCTGAAAGAAAAATGATCAGTAAAATTGCAACTACATGCTGCTGCTTAAAGAAAAATCAAATATTAATAGTATTATAAAAGATAATATTCATGTCAGCATGTCTGATTTCAAATCGTAATCTTAAGGATCATTTTCACTCAGAGTATTTAAGGGCTACATCATTTTTCCCAAGTGCCTCTCTGAAGCCTTCAGTGATACTCAAATCACTTGTTTACAGAAAACATCAAAACACTCTTGAAGAAAATACTGTTTGCCTATTTTTGCTTCTTGAACTGTTAACCCATATAACTCTGCTAGAATCTAATTTAATGATAGCTTTGCAAGCAATTCTAGCAATTCTCCAACAACATTTTCATAAACTTCATGAAATCTAGTATGTTTTACAAGATCTGCTACTTTATTTTACAATACAACCACTCTTACCTCTTCCATCAATAAAATCCTAATGCAAACCAACCTCCTCTCTTCTGACTGCTACAATGCTTCCTAACTTTTCTCCCTAGCTTCCAATGTCAGGAAGTTGAGAGGGACACTGGTAGTATTTTCTCTGTCCACCACACAGGAATCCAAGTAAACATTTTAAAATCTAAATCAGATACTGTTTAACACCATCACATAACTTTCTATCATAATTAGTCTTTACTTGATTAATGTGTCAACTTAGATGCCACCTCCTTGGAGAAGCCTGGCTATGAAAACTAAAACAGAACCCTTTTGCAAACCCCTAGCATGCCTAATTATTCTTCCTAAGGTAGCGCAGTCATGCATCACTCAATGACAGGGACACATTCTGAGAAATGTGTCATTAGGCAATTTTGTCATTATGTGATCACAGAGTATACTTACACAAACCAAGATGGTGTATATATATATATGTATGTGTATATATATGTGAATATATATATGCAAAAAACCAATGTCCCAGCGCCATTACTGAATATCAGTCATTTCCCCTACTTGATCTGCAATGCCAATATCAAGTGTCATATATTAGGTCTCTTTATGTGCTTATGAGATCATTATTTTCTTATGAGATCACCATCATATATGCAGTCCATCACTGACTGAAACGTCATTATGCAGTGCATGACTGTATTATGTTATATACTACTACGCTATACATTAGCCCTTTTAGTATCTCCCCCAACCTCCATACACACATCCCAAAAGGTAAGTTCCAAAAGGACAGGGACTTTGTCAGCTAGCTCCAACACCTAGAATAGCTCCTAGCATATCAGAGGCATTCAATAAATAGAGCAATTAAGTAAATTCACTATACTGTCACAAGTTCATAAAATCCAACAATCAATGACAGACTGAGTAACAAAGATCTGGAAACAACATATACAAAAAAAAAAAAATGCTACTGTTAAACAGAGAGGAATAAGACAATGGGAATGAATCATTATTAGTGAACTTTTTGTGATGTGACAACTTTTTCTTCCCTGTATGTACTTACATAATAAATATTCCATTGACAAAGATCCTGTGCATATCAGAACTGAATTCTAGGCTTAAAGATAACAATATACACAGACAAGTCATTCTCAAATGTTTCAAAGAAAGAAAAATATAGAAGAAAATCAACTGAATTACACAGCTAAAATAATACCAGAATCAACCAGAACTCACAAGGATTCTCCATACTATAATTAATGGGAAAAATGTCAAATCTCTGAATTCTCCTCAACTAGAACAACCCTGCACTCTTTCTGTACACAATGTACCAAACTAGATCCAAAACAGCTTTCCTAAAGTGATAGATTCTGAAGGTTATTATAATTTACCATAGTAGAATTGGACTTCCTGATAGTCCACATTACCCTAAAACTATTTGTCTGTTAAGATTCCATTACATCATTATCCTAAGCAGAGGGTGGATTTAACAAACCAAAAAACACATGATTTCATGTAAAACTGTTCTTAGTTTGAACATTTCAAGCATAAAAATTCAAAACTCAAGACTGAGAGAGTACATATTTCATGAGATAGAATTTTGAAGCTAAAAGGGAAACACACACATTCACTATATTTTACAAATAGCTACTACTAAACGAAGCCAGGCATTATTCTAAAATCTTGGGAAATGGTCATGACAAATATAACGCCATTCTAATATAACATAGAGAATAATTAATTAATAACAAGGAGTTATAAGAAAATATCAAGGAAATCTAAACTAACAGATCTATCTATTGCTCTCATTTTAAATGTGGGAAAAGTGATCTGCCCAATAAAATTTAACAAGTTAGGGGGAAAAGTCGAAGGTTTTATCTTACCACATTTTTCCCTAATACTACCACTTCATGTTCTCAAATTTAGATTTTTTAATGTCATCTGACTTTAATTCACAAGATATTTAGAGCTATCATTACTTTAAGAAAGTCATCAAACTTTTAATCCAACTGTGAATTCATAACATTATAGTCTTCTACTCGCTAACTCTTCCTGGCATAAAATTCATCGCATTAAGGAAACAGATGGGCCATATGAATCTCATTTCTAGATCATGACCAAAGTAATTTCTCAGGGGTTTCATACACTGCATGGAAAACGCTCCTAAAGAACTAGACCATATGCACATTTTGTAACATGAATTCTAATCAATTGCAAGTGTGAAGCTTGTACCTGTGTGATGGAGAAGGAGCTTCAAATTGAGGCACTGTGCTATCCTCACTGACAGGAGAGTATAAGCCACTCATTTCCTGAAAATAAAATTATTTGAATTATAGTAGACATTTCAAATAGAAGATATATAAATCAAAAAGAGGCATGATATATTCCTTTCTATTCCTGGGTTTTCATCAGTCCTCATTTGTCTCAACATCAAATTTCTGAAGGCTTCCTCTCCACAGAATAGAAAAGCAAGGACATGTGAAAAGTTAAGAGACAAGCCTTTTCTATGGTACACAATCTTAAAGAACCATAAATTGTTTACTAAATATTGTTCATCATTAATGAAGCTACCAAATGCAGAAAAAGATAAATGTAAATATTTTAAATGACATGTACATTACACTACGTGAATAGTGAACTAGCACATCATTAATTCAGGTGATTATCTATTGATAAATACTAAGATAAATATGACAGTAAGATAACTGGATCATCAGGTTCAACTCTTGAACACAAAAGCACAAAAAACACCCAGAATATGTCAAGTCTCTGCTTTATATATATTTTCCACAAACATTAAGATTGAAATATTAGCTTTGTTTAATAATGACTTAAACTCTAATTTTCGATCAGTAATCCAGAGGAACAGGCCTAATCAACCATTATATAAATTTTGCCTTTCACACTGACAATCTAGCTTCCTTTTTTATGTAATTTTGATTAATGAAGAAACAGCAAATTTTAAAATGCCACTAAAGATGCATCATCAGACAGAATTATTTCTGGCTAATCCAAGCTCAGCTCAATCATACAGTCAAGTAAGTGACATAAATGTGTAACAACTTAAGAATGCCACAGAGGATACTGAACATCCACTAAATATTAAATCCATTAATCTTTAACATGTTCTACATATCAGCAAAAGAAAATTATAACATATAAATAATTTAAAAACACAAACTAAATTTTTTAATAAATACAGCCAAAGGCAAAAACTTCAAATCATAATATCCTATAAGACTCCCAAGGATCCTCCCATAAATTTCCTTAGGTAAACTATATTAAACGTAAATTCCCAGAATATTGGTAATGTATTCTTACATTTCTCTTTTAATTAACCTTAACTCCTAGAAATGCACAGAGTAGGTATGTAAAAATTGTTAATAAAAAAAGCATTTTAGTGGTAATAATTGACAGTTTTAAGTTATGATGGCACTCCAAGAAAACTGAGTGGTTTTTTTTTTTTTGTCAATCTAATCAAGAAAAATTATGGCAATAAAACATTGTAAAACAAATTTAGACTATATTTTATCATCAAGTGTTCAGAATTTTTTTTTTTTTACAAAAATTCATTCTCAATTAAAATGAAAGTAACAGCTGTTACTTTCTTCATAACTAAGACCAATCCCATAAACTTAACATGGTAACTTAATGGAAAGGTGACAATTTCATGAAATTGAAAAATTGCTAAGGATGCGAGAAATTCTTGATTCCTTACTTCCACTCTCTTAATATCCTCTTCCAAAACACTTAGTTCCTTCTGGATCTGTTCCAGTTGCTGCAGATTAAATAGAGAGAGAGAGACAAAAAAAAAGCCTAAGCCAAACCAAAATGGCATCACCATGATCATAAAATAAATTTACATTAGGAAAATAATTTCTATCAAACTGGGCACTAATGGCAAATTAACAGGAGGGATAACCACCAACAAAATATAGCTAGAAGTTCCCATTTTTAAATGCAATGGTAGAGAATTATGTGAAAACACGATGTTGTACTTCTTTAATACAACAGTTTGATTTTACAATAAAAGTATGAGAGATGAACGACAGTGACTTAAAAAAATACAAGATAGCCAAAGAACTTTCACATTACCTCATTTAGTTGTTAAACAGAAAAACTCAGCATGTCAGTTGTTAATCACACTTTTACTTTTTTTTTAAATTTATTTTTAATAGAGATGGGTTTCACTATGTTGCCCAGGCTGGTCTCCAACTTTTGAGCTCAAGCAATCTGCCTGCCTCAGCCTCCCAAAGTTCTGGTATTGTAGGCGTGAGCCACTGCACCAGGCCTTTAATCACACTTTATAAATAAACATTAGTCTGACAGAGGTTAAATCCCCTCATCCAAAAGCAACCACAAGTCAGTATCTTAACACCTCCTTCTTAAGGGTTTTAAAAACATATCTGAGATATTTTATGTTTTATATCTTGCCTATTAAACCATAATAATTTTCCATGCCACTAAAATGCTAACATTTAATTGTTGAATAACACTAAACAACATATTGAACCATTCCCTGTCTCATGAGAGATTTAAGTTGCCTGCAAACTATCATATATTACTCGGGAACATATTGGTCTTTCAGATTTCATTTCATTTTCAGATTTTATTAAAAGGTTACTTCAGATTTGATTAAGAGTATTAAAAATGAAATGATTCAATCAAAAGAAAACTGCTTTCCAGAAACACTATACCAATTTAAATTTCTATCAACAATATGCGGTTGTCTTACTCTAACCCGGATATATTGAACAAATTTATAAATGTAAAATATTAACAACTAATGCTTATATATTACTGATTGCCAGATGTGAAAAATGAGGCACAGAAAGGTTAAATGATTTGTCCAAAATCATTCCGTAAGTGGCAGAACTGGAATTCAAATTAAGGTAGGCTTCTTGTTACAGAATTCATGCTGTTAACTACTATTCTTTACTACCTATTGAAAACAGTACCTTATTATTAACTCACTTCTTTAATGACTGATAAGGTGAACAGAGTTTTTATAGAGACTTATTAGCATTAGTATCTTCTGCGGCAATACAGGCAAAGTTGGCAATATAACAACTTATTCATTCAAATATTTACCAGTTCTAGGCACCTTCCTAAGTATTGAGAAGAACAGGATCTAAAAACAATTGTAGCCCTTACCCTCACTGAGTTCAGTCTAGGGGAGATGGCAAACAAGAAAGCCAATAGTTGAAATATTATAGCAAGCATTATGATGATGGTATACAATGTATTAAGGGAATATAGACCACATCTAATGTAGAGCTGGTAGGGTAGGAACAGGACTAGATAACTAAAATTTGATTGAAAATTAAATCAGAGGTTGAACCTTAAAGGACTAACAGAATTTGCCAAGTAGAAAACAGTGAGGCATGACACAATAAGCAGAGTAAATAACAACACATGCAAAGGTACAAAAGCTATGAGAAAGGTAAATAATAAATCTGAAGCTAAGGCAATAAATGAAATTGCTTAACATCAATCCGTATAGTCAGAAGAGATAAAAACAAAACTGGAATGGTAGAAAAAGCCAATGTCAAAGAGATGGGCAAAGGAAGAAGCAGCATTAACTATCAAGAAGGGCAAAGTCGCAGCCAGAAAACCAGGGGAAATGACAGTACTAATGGAGAAATCAAGGGTGAAAGAGTGATTAGCATTTTCAAAAGCTTTCAACTCATCTATCTACTTTAATAAACTTCCTACCACCTTAAAATATGTCACACAATGTCACCTTAACTGAAACCCTGCTCACTCTTAAAGACACTGTCTGTCCTGAAACTCTTTCGAATAACGGCTGCTCAACTGATAAAGTCTCTGAGGCCCCAGGGTTTACAGGACTTACTAATAGATAGGAACTCACTATTTCTACTGCATTCCATGGTCATTTCCAACAATTAGTATTCCATCCTAAAATCAGTTTTCCACCATAACATAAAAACCACTCTGTCTAGCTCATACCAAGCAGCCAAATCCCTGTCTACCCACTTGAGCCATCTATAAACATCCCAGTTATTCCCCACCATCACTGAAGCCTTTGGGTTCATGGACATTTTCAACTCCAGCATCCAGTGATGCTGACCTCTAATTCAGAAAAACACTCCCATGGTCATCTCTTAAACATTTTCATTTAACTACCTTAAAATGTTCCACTCTTGAAATTTTTATTTAAACAAATGCTTTAGTATAAGAGGTCTTTAGTATAATTGCTTTAAAAAAAATACATTTAAAAAGAAGAATGAGTATCTGACAAATACTCATTTGAATGAGTATTCTGATATCCAGAATCTATAAGGAACTTAAATAAATGAAAAACAAAAAACAAACAGCCCCATTAAAAAGTGGGCATAGACATAAACAGACAATTCCCAAAAGGCAACATACAAGCAGCCATCACACATGAAAAAATGCTCAACATCACTAATCATCGGATAAATGTTAATAAAAACCAAAATGAGATACCATCTCACACCAGTTAGAATGGCAATTATTGAAAAGTGAAAAAACAAACAAAAAACAAAAACAAAAAGATGCTGGTGAGGATGCAGAGAAAAAGGAATGTTTATTCACTGCTGGTGGAAATGTAAATTAGTTCAGCCACTGTGGAGACTGGAGTTTGGAGATTGCTCAAAGAGTTTAAAAGAAAACTACTATTCAACCCAGTAATTCCATTATTGAGTATATATTCAAAAGAGAATCAATCATTCTCCCAAAAACACAAGTGTATTTGTATGTTCATCATAGCTCTATTCATCACAGCAAAGATTCATTATTGCCCATCAACAGTGGACTCAATAAAGATGTGATACACAGACACCAGAGAATACTATACAGCCATAAAAAAAGAACAAAATCATGTCCTTCGCATCAACATAGATGGAGCTGGAAGCCATCATCCTAAGTCAATTAATGAGGGAACAGAAAACCAAATACCAAATATAATGTTCTCACTTATAAGTGGGTGTTAAACATTGGGTACTCATAAAGATGGTTACAACAGACACTGGGAACCACTGGGGTGGTGGAAGGGAGAAAGTGTTGAAGAACTAACTATTGAGTACTATGCTCACATTTCTGAGTGACAGGGTCAATTGTACCCCAAATTCTAGCATCACACAATATATCTACATAAGAAACCTGTATATGTACTCCCCGAATCTAAAAGTTGAAATTACATTTAAAAAGAAAGTAAATATCTGTATCAATAGCCAAAGATAGCCAATATTACTTGTATGATACATAAATAACTGAAATCAAATTAATTTTTATTCTGCTTTTGAACTTGAAATTCCAGAAAAATTTCCAAAGTCACCTGAAATCTCAAAATTTAAACTCTAATGTCTTCTCTGAAAAAAATCTTCCATCTCCTAGTACCTCAAAGCTTTTACTGGATAATATAACTATTGTTATATATGGAGGCTACTATATATATAAGGTGAAACTCATAAAACTGCCAATAATAAAACAATTTTTACTTCAAAAACAGCAATTTCATATGGTTCAATTTAAAAGTGAAATAACGAAGGCATGGTGTTGTCCAGACAAACATACAGATAGAATGCAAAACAAAATGATATAACCTATCCATGAGAAAGTCTGACAAGATATCAGGCAAGAAATACAAGAAAAAAGTCTGGAAGAATGAAAACTGTTGAGAGAGCACATATTAAATTTGAGGCATTTCCATTTCAAGATGAGAATTCTGAAGGGATTTTGAGCTGTAAATTGTAAGGGCATCAGTGCAAGACATTTTAGTACTAGTAAACAGAAAAAAGATGAAGGACAACCATTTCAAGGATGTGGAAAGAAGAAATGGGCTAAATTCACTCCGTAAACATCATAACCCCAGGAAGGAGAACCTAGAAGAAAAGCCTGAATATGAGTCCAAGAATGTTTTAAAGATATATGAAGAAAAGTTCAATAAGCTGAACTGCTATTACCTAAAGGAAAATCAATCATAAATTAGGAATGATAATAAACTCCTAGATCACATTTACCTGAACCCCATTACAGAGATTGGTGCTACTTAAAAAATAAATAAATACTTAAGATGGAGAACTAAGACAATGGTATTTGAGAGCATGGGACTAAGGAATCAATAGCAAGCACTCTCTTAACACTGTGCCAAAGCCAAAGAAAACTTATAGAAACATTTAATATAAAGGTAAAGAGTAAGTCAGTCTCAGAATCCCATAAGGAGACAAGAGACAGACTTTCCCATTACTGACAATGGCTTTGATGAGTATCACTGGTACTCATTTGACTTTCATTAGTGCCTTGATAAAGATATGCTTAAGTATTAAACTCATTATTTGAATTTTAAATATAATTTAAAATAAATTATATATAATTGTTCCAAACTGAACAAAAGAATACACCATTACACCTTCAGTGAGGAAAAGCTGATTTTAAAAATCGAGCAAGGCTAGGTACGGTGGCTCAAGCCCGTAATCCCAACACTTTGGGAGGCTGAGGCGGGCAGATCACCTGAGGTCAGAGTTCAAGATCAGCCTGGCAACAAGGTGGCACCCTGTCTCTACTAAAAATACAAAAATTAGCCAAGTGTGGTGGTAGGTACCTGTAATCCCAGCTACTTGGGAGGCTGAGGCAGGAGAATCGCTTAAACCCGGGGGGTGTAGGTTGCAGTAAGCTGAGATAGTGCCACTGCACTCCAGCCTGGGCAACAGAGCAAGATTCCATCTCAAAAAATACATACATACATATACGCATACTGCAGCAAAACTTAATATATACTAATTCTAAGAGAGT